CCCCCCCGAAACCGCAAGCAGTCTCACCACATCTAACAAGTCGATCTTCTGTCCTATAGCCTGCCGGTAGGGAGGCTCCAGCAGCAAGCAGCAGCTCATCATAAGCCTTCAGTATTCACGTCTTGCGGTTTTCCAGCGCGTCTGCTTGCCTGCCATTGACCAATGACAAGCGCCCATGCATGCGCATGACTTGCTTGCGGCATGGCTTCCTGGAAGCCGCGGTCCACGCGCGGGCGGGGGGGGCTCAGCAGCAAGCAGCATCACAACATGATCCTGCAGCGCGCACGTCTTTCAGTTTCAACCAAAATGACAAGCGCCGTCACTGCATCCTCGGCAGCGTGGAGGGCTTGGGGGGCAGGGTGCAGCGCCCCCGTCCCGAAACCGCAAGCAGTCTATCTCACAAGTCGATTTTCTTTTGCGGCATGAACACCTTGCAGTTGTCCAGTAAGTGCCTCGCGTAACGTCAATCGCTTGGGCGGTTGACGGGCTTGCGGGCAGCATGGCGCGTCCACGCGCTGGCAGACGCCGCGCGCAATGTCGCTGTTTGCCAGCGTCCCACAAAGAATGGTTGATGTAGGCCTTCTTCTATAGACCGGGCAACGTCGGACGTCGGATCTAGCGTCGCGTCTGCCTTGCGCCGGGGCTTCCCCAGCGGAGCGCAGCGACCAAAACATAAAAGCGTGCTGGAATGCGGCGGCAGCGAAGCCGTGACACAAATCGGTAGGGCAACCGCAGGAGCCCCCCGCGGCAGATGGCAGGTTGAAGGGAAGGGCCCCCTCCTGGGATATCAATAAGCCCCTTCAACCGTTGAGCTGTCTTGTCGCGGCCCAGGAGGAGGGGGGAGCATGTGCTCCTCCCGGCAAAGGGCCGCAGCCTCAGTGCTTCTCCTGTCACTTTGGCTGCATGTTTCTCTGCTGAGGCTTGATGCCTTGCACCTTTTACTCAGGCCAGCTGCAAACTGCAGTGTCTTGATGGTTTGCTTTTGAGCTCTTTGCTTGGTCTTGCTTGGTGGCCTGCACCTTTTCTTCTTTGAACCGAGCTGAACTGCAAGTTTTGGCTCGTTCTCTTTGCCAATGGCTCCACGTCTTCTAGCCGCAGCCTCAGCCTTGAAGCGACTGGTTGCGTCCATTCCGGGCCTGATGTGCTATACTTGTGAAGGCATGACCGGGCGCTGAGCGGATGCCTCCGAGGCTAGTCGTGCTGCGCCTTTGTATGCGGGTAGGGCCATGATTTTCTTTTCTTCGTACGGTCACAAACTCATCCGTCGCATCTGTGTCAGGATTTCAACGTGACTGCGTTCCTGCACAAGTTTTGGGGATGTCGTTTGACATTGAAAACTCCTGTCTGGGCCCCATGTGCACCGCTTCGCATTGGCCTATGTCTCTGTAGATGTTTTTTTTGCAACACCTGTTTTTATCCCAGGTGGGATGGATTCGTGTGCCGTACGAGGAAGACGCCAAGGCAAGATCTCAGTCTCATGCTAGCATTGCTCGACGCATACGTGGCAATGCCTCCTGGCAATAGGAGCCCCATCCGGGGAAGTTTGAGTTGCAGCGGCCTGTAGTCGAGCCCTTATACATGGGTGGGAACAGCATCACCATGAAGCGGCCTTGTGCTTCGGTACTTGTCCCCTGCTGCCGCTCAGGCCAAGCTTCCGTCTCCGTCGTCTCGTCCTTCGCGCAGGCGTCTCGTTGCTTTTCCCTGGAAGTTATGTGCCGTCGCCGCGCATAGACCCAATTCGTCCCAAGGCCTGTTCACCGAGCCGTTGCAGCCGGTGAGGTCCGATTGCGTTTTCCCGCGCGCTAGTGTCTTATAGGTCTATTGTAGATGATTGTTGTCCAGGATGATGCGTTCTTGGATCATGCTTGGCGAGATGCGCAGAAGGCCCCGACACATCTGTTTCAGTGCTGCCGGTTTGTGGATGTCAGTGCTTGCATGCAGATGATGCGACCTGTAGGCGGCTTCCAGCGGCTTGTTCCTCGAGATGTCTTGGTGTGCGGGTCCTATGTTGCTTTCGTCGGCAGGTGTAAGTGCGGTAATACATTATTGCCAGCGCCCGCCTTCCATCCAAAAAAGCAGGTGATAGCTACAGCTGGGGCGGACCCACGCGCCAGTGGCGCCGAAGCCTACTGCAGAAAGCGTGCGCTGGCTTGTCTTGCCATAGCTAGCACTTTCTGACAAACCTCTACCTGCCAAAGCATTCATCGCTCTATGCACAGGCTACAGCGCATAGCTGCTGTGCATTCGCCTGCCTCGGATCTCCACTTCGAGGCCTGAATTTTCAGTGTGCGTTTCCTTCCATCATCCCATGCCAGTGTCCAGCTTGGTATCTTTCGCGTCCTTTTTTCCCAGGTGACTACCAGCATCTTGCAGCCGGCGGATGTGACATGCCCTTTCGGAAGCATGCTTGTTCGCGTTCACACAACATGGGTTGTGTCCCACAAAGTTCGGAACCGGCGGATGCACGCTGCCCATGGCAACACTCCAGGCTCGGATATTTGCTGTTTCACATTGAGACTGCCATATGCTTCACGTGTGACAGATGCTTGTGATCTCGAGGCCTGCGCGGCGTCTTCCCAAACCTGACTGGGACTTCATGCTGGCTGGCCAGTCTTCTTCAATCTGTCTTTTCTTGCTTGCCAATGATCAAGGCGACTTCAGAACACCAGCGCACTCGGGCCTGCGCCAGCACCTGCTGGGCGTGTGCGTTGCGAGATACTGAACGCGCAAGCAGTGAGCCGGGGTCAGAAGTAGACCTTCAACCTCTTTGGGCCAACCCCTTGGAGTCGATTGGTGTGACTTTTGAAGAACAGCATGATCCCTTAGAGATTTTGTTGCAGCTGGGCCCTCAAGACACCATAGCTTTTCAAAGTATGTGGGCAGATCATTTTCACGACTTGAAGCATCATCCGCAATGCTCTTGCCCCTTCGAGATGCCCGTTGCCGTCACATCTTCGCTGCTTTGACACTGCCACCGTTTGATGACTGCGCTGCCATTGCCCTCAATGACTTGCTGGACAAAGATCCTGCCATTGTGCCAGACGGCGGTCTTCCTTGCCCACACTGCTCGCAGCGCACTTCTTTGACATCTGCTGAGTCATGGCACCTAGGCCCTGTAGCTTTGCTCCAAGTTGTGCGCGAAACTGGCCTCGGTCAGCTGAACCGCACAGCTGTCTTTGCGCCTCCTGAGTTCGAGCGCGGGAACTATGTCTATTTTCTGCGTGCAGCGGTACTCCACCGTGGACAGTCCTTCGATTCTGGTCATTATGTGGCTTTCCTGCGGCAATCCAATGGGGCTGGCTGGGTGCAATACAATGATGGTGACCGTCCTAAACGGCTACCACGTGAGCCGCCGCACCTTCAGACCCATTCGCGGTATTTTCTGTACGAGCGGGCTGAGGCAGGGTTTTCAGATAGCATTCCAGCATGACTTTGCTCCAGATGTTTGTCGTGCTGCCGGTGTTGCCTGTCAGGCGCCCACCACGGCTGCCAACAACATACTTTCTGAGGCTGGTTTTGTGTCTCGATCATAGTTTACCTTGCCGCATGCCGGGGGTTGTATACTTGCTT